TTAAAAAAAAAGGGCCAATACTGACCGATACGCCCTACCGGCGTATCAGCCAATATCTAAATATTATCTTGTGGACTATAGGTTTGGAAGTTATCCTGGTTACCTCACACCATATCTTGGTGAGCGTTACCATTTAAGTGAATACCAGTCCCATCATGGTAGATTCAAAGGGAAAGAGGTGCTATTTAATTACATGTACTCTTCCCTAAGGAATGTGATTGAACATACCTTTGGTTCCTTGAAGGGGAAGTTCCCAATTTTAGAAAGCAAACCACTTTATGAGCTGCACATGTAATGGTATATAGTAATGGTTTGTTTTATTACCTACAACAATATAAAGATAGAGGGACATGTTGAATTGGAATTGGATTTGCTCCTCGGAGAGTGTAACTCACACCGACCCCACAATACATTCCACTGTGTATTGGGAATAAATAACACACAAGTACGGAAAATGTTTCTAATATGTAGCTATGATGCATTGTGAGGAACAGATTTGAACTCGTTAAATTGCACACTTGGGAGAGGGAGGATATTGTGGTTCTTGAGGAAGAGGGTGATCATCTGAGTCAAGATGATGGTGTTGCTTCAACAAATAGGAGCACAAAAATGAACACAATTATAGAGAGTATTGCAAATGCCTTGTGGGAGCCAAGAACATTAGCTTTTATTTATTTATTTATTTATTGCTTTTCTATGTTACTCCATTTTTAATGTGTATTAGAAGTACAACCTTTATATCGAACCATGGTTTTCAAAATCGGACCGGATCGGACAGTCAGACCGGAAAAACTGGGAACCGGTTTTTTTCCCCAAAACCGGATTTTCTCCAAAAACCATTGGTTTTGGTCAGCAAACTGCTGACCTAGGTGGTTAACCATTTGAACGGTTTTGACCGTTTTTTAATTTTAATTTTTTTCAGAACAGGTCGATCATTCGACTTGGGAACCGGACCCCTGACCGGTTCGTTCTCCGGGTCAGTTTTAAAAACCTTGTATTGAACTATAATGCATGGTTATGGTTTTTTTTTTGTGAATGTTATATGTTTCTATTTCTTAAATTACCTTCTCTCCTTTAGAGAAAATTAAAATGGTTGAAGGCCCATGTATATCCAAATGCTCTTGCAGGAAGGGCCAAAGGGGGAGATGATAGTGTAGTGGCTAGGGGTGCAACTTGGGCATGCCCAAACTGAGTTTGACTCGACCCAATTTGAGTTTTTAAATGAGCTGGACTTGGGTTTTTGGGCTTGGTGTGGGCCTAGGCCAGAAAACTTAGGCCTGACCTATACTTGGGTTGGGCTTGGGTTGAGACCTTGGGTAATCTGAGCCCAATCCAACCCAACCTGAGTCCATCTGAAAATATCTTTTTTTTTTCTAATTATATATACATGTGTATATGTATAAAATATATATATGCACACTTTTAAATGAAGTTTGCACATATTTTTAATCAATTCTAGTATTGAATTGGACAAGGCCCAATAAAGGATGATTATGTAAAAATATATACATAAATTCTTTTAAACTTTCCAACCTGCTCAAGCCCAACTAATCTATCCTGGCTCAATCCAAGCTTGGGATCAACCTGAGTTGTGTTGGGTTAAACTTGAATTGGGCCTAAGATGGGCAAACCGGAGCCTGAGGTTTGCACCTTTAGGGTTGGGCTAAGGCTAAGGTTAACTTCAACATGACCCAACCCACCCGAGTTACACCCCTACACATGGAAAGATCAGAAGTTAATTATGGAAGTTGGCATTATAGATGTCCATAGAGGGGAGATCATTTAGAGGCATTTATATGGGCAGATTAGTACCATGAAGATTATAGGGGTATTTTAGTCAATTACTTGTGTATAGAGTCATTTTCGTCTATTCATTTATCATCAAGCTTTATTGACTCCTATGGTTTGGTTGTTGCACCTTGTATGTCCACCTTGGTCAATTTATCATTATAGGGGTATTTGGTCAATTTATTGGTACAATGGTATTTTGGTCAAATTAATTTTTTTTGCTAGGTCCACATGTATTAGGAACACAGACAAAGTTCCAATGGTGTTATTAGTTGATTTATAGCGTTAATGCATGGTTTATAACGAGATGTGCTACATAGAATCCTGAGGGCAATATTGACATTTAAGTGAAAATACAGACTTTTCTTAGCAATATTACCAAACGCATGATTTTCTTTATATATATAAAAGCAGCATTAATAAATGATGCTCACCAAACTCTCACTTTTTTGACTTTCTAAAGATAATTAAATTGAACTTTTAAAAAAGTCCAATAAATTACCTAACCTCACTGCCAAATATATGCAGCCTAAGTCACCATATTTCAAGCGTGACAAGCATAGGTGTGACATTTTCTAGACATGGTTTGCTGTGATATTTGTCACAGTGAAGTAGTTTAATTTCTCATATGTAATTTGTGTGGGAGACCATAACTGTTGAAATATATCTATTACTGTTTGTATGGGGACTTCATTTATATAATGGTAATAATGCAGTTTCTCTTTATGTTGAATGTTTGGAATGATGTCTTTTAAACCCTTTTACTATTGATACCTGAAGCTAATTTTAAGAATCCCTTACATTTCAAATTCGCAAAACAAAAAAAAGGGAGAATGACAATTCAGCCCAGGGTCAGAATTTTTAGGTCTAAAGTACAATTGGGTAAGTGTCAACTTAGAATTGATATTAATTCGTGGGCTGGCATTAATATATAAAATAGAGGTATTAAACATTTTGAATTTTTGTAGATCTGCTGTCAGAAATTTGCAATGGGCCTGTCGTACTTTTTTGAAAAAAAATTAACTTCAGACTTCAGGTATGGCAATTCCACGAGTTAGTTGTCCATTGACTTTAATAGAGGTTACAGGATTTAACTAGCCTCCATGTATCTTTGAATGTATTAATTTTTACCAATCCACTATTATGTTATATTTTTTTGATAGGCACTATTATATTACATATTTGACTTTCATGAGAATGGGTACTGTGAGTTTCCAAGTTTATACAAGTACAAGTACAGACATGATCAAATTCATCAATTTCTATTGACTTTACATATTTGACTCTCTCTCTTTCTCTCTCTCATTTTATCACCTATTGGAGCTATTCTAAGTGATTAAATTATTTTTTTGGTCTAAGTAAAGAGTAAAGATATAGATTGACATCGTAAAGTCAAATTTAACTTGTGTATACAATCACACATCAATAAATGTATGTATGTATGTATGTATGTATGCCAACAAATTTAATTTTAAAACTTAATTGATTAAATCCACTCTTGAGTCTAGTCTTGTTTTCCATATGCAGACATTTCTTTTCCGAAGATGGTGTACAATGAAATAAATTCACTTTGTAGAGACCTTTGGTAGAATGATAACAAAGAGAGTGCAAAACATCATTTAAAGGCATGGAGATATTTGTTGAAGCATAAAGAAGGAGGTCTAGGATTATTAGACCTCTCTCCTCAATTCCAGTTCAATAATTAAGTACATAACAACACCTCTCTCCCATTCTGAAGAATTCCATTGACAATATATGCAATCCAATCCTAATTGGGCTACCCAAGGTTCAAAGTATCTACACAGGTTAAGACGTTGGTAGGACGTATCGGCCTGTATCGGTGCTTTTTTTATATTTTATTTATTTTTTTTAAAATCGATTCAAAGGAGTCGTTTTAAGTCCCAGCTACCCTTTAAAGCATGGTCTAACCCGATACAACCCCTATAGAGACGTATCAGGAATTCATCGGCATGATACATATCGGCCGATATGAGCCGATACGTGTCAATACTTTAAACCTTGGGGCTACCCAGTGGTCCAACCTGTATGGTTTGGTTCCACTATGAATCTAATAATGGATCAAGGTGTTTCAAAATCGATCGAAGTGTAGTTGATTGGATTTCATCATGGTGGGACCTGGAACATGACACTGGCTCTCCCTATATTTTGTGTGGCTTTTCAATGTTGTGGTTGATATGGAGGTACAAAAATGTGCATGTTTTTGAAGAAAGGGCTTTCAACCCTGTGGCTATAATTAATCATTTAAGAGTTTCTAGTGACTTCTTCATGTTTACATCAACTACAAGAAGTGATCCTTTTATGAATGAAGTCAACAACCTTTCACACAAGCTTTGTGGTCCAAGCCTTAAAGGTGAACATTGACAGGGCATTGGGAGCTACAAAAGTTGGTGTCGGTATCATTGCTAGCTAGAAACCATCATGGAAATCATATTTGTTCTAGAGTGGTTCCACTCCCCACCGGGTCTCTAATTTAGTGGAAGCGTGGGCTTCTCTCCATGGGAATAGATTTTGTAATGGATTTGCAAAGAGAATAAATTTTGTTATGGATTTGCAATTGAATTGAGTGGCTTTTGAAGGTGATGAGAAACAAATTGTCGACCTCCTTTTGGTAGAATCTCTCTCTCTTTCATTATTGTTAGGAATGACAATGGGGCGGGGCAGGGATGGAGATACCGTCCCTGTCTCCATGGAGATCTCCATTTCCGTGGTGGGGATCTCCACTCCCTGTGATTTTTTTACGAGGTCAATCATTTAAAAAATTAAAAATAAAATAGTTATGATTTGCAATTCTATTAAAAAAAGATTCAAATATATTTAAACATATTCAACTATATTTTTAAAATATTAATATGCATATATACATATATAGATACATAGATACATATATACACGGGAAAGATATGCTTTCCTATCTCCACCAATGGGGATGAAAATTTCCCCATCCCCATCCCCACCCTATTCAAGGAGAATCTTACAAAGATGAGTAAATAGGGAAAATTGCCATCACTTTTCAATGCCTATTAAGAGTGTCATATTAACCGGAACACTAAACAGACTGCACACAAATTGGCAAAGATTGCCCTGAATCTCTGAATTCCATTGCACATTCTGATATTCAAAACTGAGATGAATGGTTGACCTTTGGGACTAGGAAATTAATGAAAAAAACATGGCAAAAAGAGGCAGAGAAATTAGGACAATCCGAAGCCATTAATACAAACCCAACCTGAAAATTTTGGGTTGGGTTAAAATGGTGTTGAGCTCAACCGAGCTAATCCGGCCGGACTTGCACCCTGATCCAAAGAAGGCAAATTTCATTACACAACAATCAATTACAGCCCTACTCAGACCACAGGATATAAGCCATGAATCCGGAGGATTACAAAACCATTCTGACAATTATACAAAGCTGCCCGGCCGACTCACAGGACACACAGATTTTTATCATAATAATAGATAACCATCGCATGACAATAATAGACAAAACACAAGTGAAATAACTTAAACGGAAAACCCAGAAACTGTTCTTATGGGCGGTAGTTGTTCATCATCAGTTTTCCTGTCAACCCACAAGCCAATGCTTCATTGGGTATCTTTCTAACACGCTCAACGCCTTCAGCAAAGATCACGCCCATACCCATATGAAGATGAGGCTCTATGTGGCAATGGAAAGCCCAGACTCCAGGGTTATCGGCCACAAATCTTAATGCAGTCCATCCGTAAGGGAAGATAACTGCTGTGTTCCTCAAGGGGGGATTCTTCAAATTGAACTTACTAACATCCTTCTCAGTGAACTTCCCATCTCCATATCCCAGCACCCAGAAGTCATGTCCATGCAAATGCCAAGGGTGTATCTCACTAACATTCACGGTCAGTATATTAGCATTCTGAAGGATTACATCTACCACGCTGTTCATGGCAAACATGTAGACTCCACTTCCGGTGGTAGAGTTTGGATTGGTGGGTGGTCTCATCACATCGTAGCTCTCGGAGAATTTCTCCGGCGGGACCTGGCTATTAAATGCACCTTTCATTCCGAATTTGATGGAACCCAGATAGGGAGTGGCTGGTAAGGATAGGGAGACGTTGTTGATGGACCATTTGGTGTAGCCATTGACCTTGTTTTGGGTGTTGAGGAAGTAGATGCGACGGGTTGGGCTGGTGGGAGGCTTGGGTGAGCCTTGTAAGGCGAGGATTTTGTAGGTGAAGGATTTGCTGTGGTCATAGTCATTCCACAGGGGAGCAACCGGAGGTGGAGAGGTTGGCAGCTTGGATGCGCTGTTGGGGAGATAGTTTAAGAGGGTGAGACCTTGTGGGGTCTTGGGAAGTCTTCCTCTTACACTGACTGAAACCCAGTAATTGGAGGATGGATTCTGATCTGTAGTGATCAGGACGGAGTAGCTTTCGCCGGAGTAAATGTCCATGTCATCCACTGCAAATGGCTGGACATAGTTGCCGTCGGCCTCCACCACCACCATCTTGTGATTCTGGAAAGGATATATAATGCAACTCATATCACAACAGTAGAAAATTTGATAAGTTTAGGTTATCTCATTAGACATCCAAATAAATTTGATGACAGATACTTGAATTAGTTATTTGTAGAATTAATGAAAGAAAATAAGTTTGTAGAGTAATGGATTCAATCAAAGTAGTAGATCTTGTTGGGTGATCAACTCAATTACCTGGTTATTTTTCACCAATTATTGTCTATATATGCCAATTAGCTTTATAATGTATTGTAGTTTTTTTGTGTTTTCTTCTTATTTCCTTTTTCTTTTCCTTGTTCACTGGTTTTTCAAACCTTTGCATATCACACACAATGGGCTTCTGCTTTTAATTTCCTATTTCTAAGAGAAAATGGAAAATTCTCCTGCATAAATTAGAATTGAAGTGTATTCTGATTGTAAATAGTTTTACACTAAAAAGGTGTCAAGTTACCAACTCAACCCAATGGATCTAATCTAGCTGAATTCATGAAACCTTTGTGTTTGAGTCAAAGGATTTTGGTATCAAAGAGTAACTCTTGTCATCTATGATTATCTGGGTAAGTGCATTTATTCATGTTCTTTTATTTTCCATGTAAATAAGAAAATTATTATTTTAGACATAAAAATTCATTGTTGAAAAGTTTGTCCCATTCAAGTGTTGACAACTTTCCCTCAGATGAGAAAGTTATTTATTCACCTAGGAGATGAGTATACGTAAATAAACATTTATAATCCCCACATAAATCTAAAAAAAAGAACATGAATTTCTTGATCAATGGGAATCAAAATCCCATTGACCAACTTTCCTCCATCTCAAAATCCAAAAAAAGAAGACCTCCTAAGATTTAATTGTCTTAATATTGGTTCTAAGTGATCAAGTATAGACCCAGAAGTCTACTAAAGCTGAAATTGACAAATAATCACAGTATAATGCCAATGGTATACCACAGAAGGCTCTCCACTTCTTTAGTGGAGATGATATGAAATATTGCCTTCTTTCACCCATTCTAGAGGTTTGATTCCCTCCACTAGTGTTTTGTCATTGTCCCACTGGAATCGTGAGGCTTTCACAAACTTCTGAATAATGAAGTACAAAAGCTATAACTCATGAATGGACATGAGAGAACAGGCTGTAGGTCCACTGTTCACATTCCCTCTAGTGTGAAATGTGAACAATAACTTAGCCAGACTAGAGCAGAATAAATGGAAAAAGAAAAAGAAAAGTGGGAAAGAAAAACTTTACTTTTTTTTGAAGGTTTCAACAGCAGGAAAGAACAATTATTGGTCCAAACAAGTAAAGATGTATATTTCGTATATGGCAGGCCGATCAGAAGTCAAAAAGTTATGTCTTCAGAATTTATTACTACAAGAAATTGTTTTCAAGAATAGATTCCAAGACGTACACCTTGTTCTTTATCATTAAAAAGTATCTTCTTTTGATTTATTAATTTGGACTGCCGAAATGTTTTTTGTTTTCTTTTGTAATTCTCTCGTTTTTAAACATGGCGCTGGCATCTAGGTGTGATCTAATGACGACAATGATGATAATGATAATTACAAGTGCATCGAACACTGCTCAAGTGCTCACAAGTAACTATAGAATCATTAGAGCTATTTTTATTGGATGAGTTCATGAGAACCATTAGAGCATCTTATTTATTTTCTTAATTATCTTTTTTAGAGCTTTATATTTTAAAGAATTTGCTATTTTCCTTTGCCCAGTTTGATCTAAATCGGATAACAAAAGGAACCCATTCACCTCCAAGGTTAATCTATAGTGTTGAGTTAGTCATATTATCATTTTTTACTTTCATTGAGATCAAATCAGCCCCCCACAAGAATGCACCCTACAACGTTCTATAGCATATCCCCGTTGTGTATTAGGGACAATTCATATTACCCCACAGAACGTGTCTTACCGATGCCTTATAGGCTCACTGCACATCCCAACCATGTATTAGAAACATCTTTCAATGACAAACATGGGAAAAGTTCCTACTTTTCAATGTGCATGTAGGGCATCTGAGGAACATGAATGTGATCTAGTTGGGACCAAACTTTGGAGGTGGAATTTTGTGATTAGTTAAGAAGAAAAATTACTTAGAAAAGCTACCATTGTTGGGATGCGCATCAGACTTAGAAGACCATATGATGATCAGAAAAAAAAGAACAAAAAAAAAAGGAATAACTTTTGCTACTACCAATAATTAAAAGAAACCAGCCTTTAGCTTTTGGAAGGTGAATAACAAAGGCAGATCACCTTTGTTCAAGAGAATTTTAGAGCATCTACATGGGTGACGTGGGTTTGCTACCCACCATCAAAAGGATACATCTACTCCTTTTTAACACAAGGAGCGAAAAGTGCATTCATGAAGGTGAACAAATGTGTATTTGCACTCTACAAATTTTGTATTTGTATTCTTTCAACTGAGCCTAATGGAATCAAACTATATTTATTGTTTAGAACTTTAGCATATGAAGGTGAATAAATGTGGTTTACTAGAAGGATTTAATTTTCTTCTCCCTATATACCAAGGTTTTAAAATCTGACTCGGAATTGGAACTGTTCTGGCCACCGGTTTTCAGGTTGATGGTTCGTTCATCCAGTTCAAATAGATGGTCCATTTCATCTTAAAAAATTAAAATAAAAAATGGCCAAGATTGTTGAACGGATCAACGGTTTAACCGCCTAGATCAGTGGGTTATTAATCAATTCAACGATTTTTGGCCAAGGACTGTGTTTAAAGTAAAATAGAACTGGTTGCTAAATGGTTCTTTGCCAAACGGTCCAATCATCTAGGTCAATGGTGGTTTGAAAAGACTGCTATGTACTTGCTTTTATGAATTCCGTGTGGGGTTCGGCTGGAGTGTGAGAAGTCACGTCTCAAAAACCCTCCCAACTAAGCAGTAAGACTGTGTTTGGTTTGAATAAAAAAGTATGGAAAGCAAAAAGCAAAGGCCTCCTTCGGCCATTAGATTACAAATTTAAAAAAGTCTTTTAATGTTGTGTCGTTTTTCAATAATGTAATGCTCATGAGAATGCTCATTTTCTAAAGATGATGAGAAGACAAAAGATACCCCAGCAGAAAGCCCATTTTTTGTTGAATATTGTGTCCTATTCCCACCCCCAATGTGCAAAAGCTTTGGTTTTGGGAGAGGGACCTGTCCGTGATTAGAACTCTCAATTTACTCAACCAAGGACGTTAGGTGAGCTAATAATCTACTCAAAGCAGGATAATGGTGATAGTAAATTTAGAGTTTTTTTTCTAAAAAGGAAAAACAAATCAGGTCATGCTATCTTTAGCTTTAGGGGGTCCATTGAATGGTGCACTTAAATTTATATATCCAAGAGGAATTTGGTCATAAAAAACATGTCGCATCTAGTGATGTAATTAAGTTAATAAAATATGAGCTACAAGTCAATTTGTGTTAAATCTCTTTTTTATATATTAAGCCTGATAATTCGTATTTTCATCTTTTCTCATATGATTGGAAAAAGATTTAGCCATTGAAAGCTGTAGCCCCGAAAAGATACGGTAAGTCCGATTTGAATTATTTTCGAGAAGTTCCAAATATAGCTTTTTGTTGTTTTTTTTTTCTTTTTTAATTTGTCTTCATGCGAAAAGACATGCCTTAACCAAACAGCCATTAAACTGTTAAGATCTTAATGTAAAAGCTCACATTGTCTTTTGACCCTCAAATCTATTAAAAAATTTTCTAAAAAAGACTTACCAAACGGCCCTTGACTTTTTGGGCAGAGAACCCGATTTATTAGAGACAAAATCATATGCAATGAATTGGACAACCTATTACGAGTGGACACGTCAGTGCTCTGCATGCATAAGGTGTGTGTCTCATGTCAATATACATTACAGAACACTGATATTTACTCGTGATAAGTTTTCGTCTCCAGCCAATCTGGACCCTTGAAATACACTAGGCAGTTAGGTTCCATAATTTGTGATAGAATCCTCTGCAAAAAAACTCTACACTTACACATATCCCTATGGGGAATATTTCCAATGTGCGGAAGAATGTTATATATGTAGAATTTTTTGATTTCAGGAATTTTAGGCTCATAATTCAATGTCTATGTTCCTTATTGAGTGATGTCAATTTGCAGTTGGTTTTGGTTATTTGGTTTCTAACAAACACCATTCCTTGAGAATAAGAATATATTAACAAAGTAGTGGAGAGCAAGTTGTTTTCCTTTTTGGATCATTCTTTTAAGTGCTTATTTGTTTTCTTTTGAAAAAGGAAGTTTTGTGAGACAAAGAATCAAGATTGTGTTTGGAAGAGGTGTAAAATATCATCAGTGTAAAAATACACTGATGACGTTTTACACTGAACCATAAGTATATATGACCGTTGTATTTTGAAGTTGATGTAAAAAGATGTTTAAGTTTTACATTAATAAAATCGATGTAGTTTTTACATTGATTATCGATGTAAAACTTTAAAGGTGATGAGGTTTTACATCTATCATTGATATAAAACTACACTCCATCCAAATGCACGCAAAACTGAACCAAAGTGTAGTTTTACGTCGGTAATAATTACACTCCTTTACCAAATACGTACAAAAGCAAACCGATGTAAATTTTACATCGGTTCTTGATTTACACCGCATCCAAATACAGCCAGGCTGTGTTTGGAAGAGGTGTAAAATGTCATCAATGTAAAAATACACTGATTATGTTTTACACTGAACCGTAAATATATATGACCGTTGTAATTTAAAATCAATATAAAAGATGTTTAAGTTTTACATCGATAAAATCAATGTAGTTTTTACATCGATTATCACATAAAACTACACTCCATCCAAACGCAAGCAAAACTGAACCGGAGTGTAGTTTTACGTTGATAATAATTACACTCTTTTACCAAACGTGTACAAAAGTGAACCGATGTAAATTTTACATCGATTCTTGATTTACATTGCATCCAAATACAGCCTAACTTTGTTTGGATTTATCCAAACAACTGCCATTTACCAAAAAGAAAATCTAAACAACCCCGGAAATGATTCCTTTACAAGAAGTGAACTTGAAAGTTTAAAAGGCCAACTGCAAATTATTATTATTATTATTATTATGATTATAGAGAAAATGAAGCATGTTTTTGTTCAAGGGGAAAAAAGAGACTAAGATAAATGTCTCAATGAATAATTCTCCCTAAAACCTTAATAAATAGATTTTTATTCTCTAATACACTATACACTAAACAGGTTTATTGGGCTTAAAGTGTTGACAAGTATAAACCCATCCATACCTTGTGTTGAAATTTATTTATATAACAAGACAGGCCAAAATTGAACTAATTTCCTACTCACTTTCTCTACCTATTCCCTACCCACAATACACTGCAGTGGCACATCTCAAAAGACAAAAGACAAGATGGCCATGTGTGGCTGCAATTCAAGGTAGGTAGAGTGTGGGTAGAGAGTGGTGGGCAGTAAATCGTGGTTTGCTTCGCTTAGTCAACAGGCTCTAATACCATGTAAAGTAACCATTTAACCTAAAAGCTGACACTATTTAGGTAATTACTTTATTCTCCTAAAAGAAGATAAAATGGGAATTATTTTCTTACCCCAATGGCCAAGCTGAGAGAGGAAAGTGCAGTGGTACTAGCAATTCTCAAGCGGTAAGTTTTGTTTGGACGCACATGGAGAACGTCGGGCGTGCACTGCCTCTTCCCTTCCAAATCACACTGGGTTGATGTCGAGCTGCTGTAATGTGCTGCTACTGAACAATTGTACTGTCCTCTCCCATTGATCAGAAGAGACTGCAAATGTACAGAAAAATTATTTCTCTGTTAGGTCTTAGCACTCTCTTCTTTTGTTCATCTCTCCATCTCTCCATGTAAAGAAAAATTCCATTATACAAGTATTGAAAGTAACGTAACAAACAAGCATATATACAAGCATTGGCCTAAAAAGTTGCCTGCCAACCTGGGCCATTACAAGGAAGATGAGAGAGAGAGAGAGAGAGGGTACCTGGGGTTCACCAATCCAACGAAATGGAATGGAAGAGAGACCAACTTCCTGCTCATGGATGCTCTGGTGCCACCAGTCACTGAGCAATAGGCTGAACTCCCCATCATAATGGAAAGGTTCCTTCTGACCATCTGCCACATCTACTATCAGAGATCCATACAACCCAGCTGATCTTTGCATCCCATAATGCCCATGATAAAAGTATGTTCCAGGCTGAAACACCCACAACAGTATCATTACATTTAGTTAATTTTCTCTGGTCCAAATTTAAACAGGTTGATAAATAAATGAAAACCCTTTTGAGTTTTAGCTTCATCAGATCAAAGACAAGTCTATATATATACCTTGTCAACCATGAACCTGTAAACGAAGGTTTCCCCAGGATTAATTGCACACTGAGAAATGGCTGCCGTTCCATCAGCCCATGGCGTCCCAAACTGAAAGGAAATATGAACCAAGAATGTCATTACTTTGTGGGTGGCAATAATAATAATACAGAAGAGAAGAGATCGAAGAGAGCTGAGGGGAGGAGGGAAACAGACAGACTAACCTGTCTAATTCCGTGCCAATGGATGACAACTCCCTCTGTGGGGAGTTTGTTCGTCAGCTCCACCACAATAATGTCGCCGGCTTTTGCCCGGATCGTCGGTCCGGGGAACTGGCCATTGATCCCCATCACTACACTCTCCTTGCAGTCTGGGGACCAGAACATGTACTCCACATCCCATTTGAAATGTCTGGCCTTTGCAGCAACCAATGATGACTGAAGCAAGGCTGATGAGAAGCAGAACAAAATAATGAAGAGAGGCCTGATGGATCTACTACAACATAATAGCTCCATGAGGAGGAGGAGGAGGAGGAGGAGGAGATGGATTAATATCTCCAACAATACCCTTGTCAATGAACTGATGCTGGATGCCTCCTGCTTTTATAGAACTAGATGGGGCGATTCCACAGACAAAATTGCAGATGTCAATGGCCTTAGATGTTGTGGCCCCATGAAGATGTCAATTCATTCAACATGGGGCCATTGCTAGCTCTACATCAAAGCCTTTGATTATTTCATTGTTTTAACCCTGTTCTATGACATTGTACTAGCAAATTAAAGGTGGTTTGCTCTAAGTGGTTATGATGATTTTGACGTTACAGAAGGAAAAGAAATTGTTCCCTTAGAGTTGTTACTCCTGAAATTTCTACGCAATTAGGTCGATTGATGTTTTCAATTTCACCGGCTGCTTTATGATAAGAATCAGTTTCCCTTTTTCATCATATAGGCAGGGAGGGACCCCAACCTTCTCATCAACTTGAACAGTTTTCAAGGAAAGAGTGTATGACACTCACTCTTTGCATTAATTAATAATTTTCCCTATTTATAATGTTATGCTCTTTAGCACAAGCGCCACATGTTATGTTACTGTAATATTTTATTAGTCATGAATAAAGAGAAAAAAAATATACTTTTATATATTCTTTAATTTTTCTTTGTTATTACAAAACTAAAACTTAGAAGATGAGTAAATGATAAATTAATTAATTAAATAAAATAAAGACGAAAAATGTAACAAAAGAAATCAAATATGTATTTTGCTCCTGACCTGTAAAGTACAAAAGCAAAAGTGACCAGTTGATTCTAGTAATAGAGGTTGAATTTGAATATTGATTGGAGAAAAATTCTGCAAAGCTTTGTGTTCCACTTTCATTCCGTGTTTTTTCTCTGCAGATTTGAAATAGACTTGTAAGCACATGCCCATTCAAACATTGTGTTGAAATTTAACCTTTGTTTAATTGGTTTGAAGGAAAAGGTGGGGAAAGGAAAGGAAAAATAGGAAAATTTATACAAGGTTTATAAAGGTTTTTCTATCTTTGTTTTCCTTTCCCTATTTTTTTCTTCAAACCAAACACAACCCTTTAATTAACTATAATAAGAACTGCTATGAGGATTGAACACTAGATCATTTGTGACAGGTATATACATATACCCATTATGCATGTGAAACGAGGGACTAATTAATATTGGAGTGAATCTAAATCTATTGACAACAAGATATCACAACCGCACATTGGGAACATCTCTTGTACCCGTATATTGTCATTCATATATATAGCTCCAATGTGAGGCTGTAATGTCTTGTGGCCAGGAACAGGATGTGGTAAGTCTAAGGCTCAGTTTGGAAAGAGTACAAATACAAATATGTACAATACAAATACATATAAATTAAAATAATACAAAATACAAAATTTTGCACTCTATAAATTTATATTTGTACTCCTTCCAAAGTGAGTCTAATGAAATATTATGCATAATAAGTTTCAATAGCAAACGGGTGGAATAAAAACAAATTTGTATAGCAGCAATGTCTATTGTAGTAGTAGATTCAACCTCACTTAGTGACCGAATTTCAAGGTCCTTCACATTGGAATCTGGTCATTTCGATGCTAATTTGTCCTTCCATTGCTTTATCTTGGCCATGGTGCAATTAGCGGACTCAACCGTTTTTACTTCTTTAGCCATTTCTTCTTTCATTAAAATTTCCCTCTATTGTCTTCCATTTATTCTCTACTTTCTATTATTTCTTACTCTCCAAATTTTCCTTATCTTTCTTAGCCTCAGCACTTGCCAGCAGGGCTTCAACTTTCTAAACTTGGATTTGTCAAAAGATTATCCAAATTGTTCCAAAGGTCCTCACTTTAGCAAGAAAAGTGTTATGCTTTCCTATCTTCTTATACAAGTAAATACTAATAAGCTCTAAGCTCTAATGTTTTAGTGCCAATTTGGGAGGGTTTTCATGTGGTTGCTTTTGGCTTTTGGCTTTTGGCTTTGCAAGGTGGACACATGGACAATTTGTAAGTATGGGTGCACTTTGGGTACCGGTTTTGGGATTATACACTGCATCGGGCCCAATTTCTGGGCCAGGCCTATTCAAATTTTGACAAAATACCAATCTGAGCCTGCCCAAATTGCATCCCTACTTATTAATAGGGCTGCTCATAAGAATGCCCAACCCGACCAAACCGATCAATCTGGACCGACCCAACTTGAGTCGGCTAGGTTTTCATCAATACTAGTCGGTTTCGGGTTGGGAAAATATATAAACCGATATATCGGGTCGGTTTCGGTTTTCTTGTGTGAAAACCGAAACCAACCTGACCCGAATTCCTAGTTTGAGTAGTTTCCTACTTAACTATAACTAGTCTTCTACTAGAWCTAGAAGGCCCATTAGGCAATTACAATTAGAATAGGCAATCTATCATAGTTTCTAACTTGCTATAGTCTTTTACACCAAATAGACAACCTATTAGGCAATTACAATTAGAATTCAATTAGGTGTCCTTTTGTGCAGGAGCAAAACCGAAACCGACCCAAACCGATCCAACCCGACTCAAACCGACTAGGTCGGTTTGGCCTATTAGTGGGTTGGTTTCGGTTTCTACCTCAAGTAACCTGACCAGGTCGAATCGGTTGGGAAAACCCAAATAAACCGAACCAACCCGACCCATGAACACCCCTACTTAATAAGTGCAAAAGAATGGATTGATTGAAATTGACAGCTGTTTTTATTGGACATGGGACCAATCAGTTTTCTTTCACATCAGGTTTGGAGTCCACATAGCCAGTAGAATAGCTATCAAATTCGTATCAAATGGCGCCCAGAAAGTTGAGGTGATACAGCATCACAAATTGGAAGGAATTTTATAGGTTGATGTGTTAAGAAAGAAAATAGAAAACATAGATCAAAAGAAAATAAAAAGAGGATAAATGCATGATGAATTACACAGAAACAATAAGATTTGGAGACTCACTCAAAAAACACTCTTTCAACTCCAAAAAGAAAAGAAAACTTTTGACTTCATAAACAAAGGTAAAAATCTGGATTCCCAGTTTAAAGTGGCATAGCATCATATAGAGAAAAATATAGGTCGAGGCAGAAAGAGAGATGAAGGCGGAGATGGAGGGTGAAGGTAGAGATGGAGATGGAGATGGAGCAGTGGTATACTTCCTATCTTCCTAAAAATTTTCATCAGTTGGATTTTATTTTAAAATTTTGAAGAATAGTAAGAGGGCAAATTTAATATTTTGTTTTTTCATTAGCACTTAAGACAATATTAGGGGTGGTGGAAGACAATAGTTAAATAGTAAGGGTAGAGTTGATCAACTAGCTAAACCACTAGACCCAGGTGTTAAATTGTTCACCTGGATAACAGTTCATGTTTAATAACAAAAAAGTATTTGAACTTTTAGAGAGAGAGAGAGAGAGAGATGAGTCAAATTTCAAATGAGTTTTATTTTTATAGAGATGAGAAATGGTTATTTAGTTGTTTTTTATTTAACCACCCTCACTTTTGAAAGAGTGGTTTGACACGTGCCTAAGCTTGAAGCCTCCTAATTGAAAGTGAAATTAACCACTCTCAAACTCTTTTAGAGTGATTTGAATTCTATTTAAAAATATGAGAAAACCACTTCTAAAATGTTATTTCCTGAATTAATTGGAAACCACATGTCTAAACATGGGTCTCTAGTTTGACCACATTACTTTAATAAACACACACACACACCATTCCAATGCAAAAGTTTAAATTTTGCATTGCATTTTCATTATTAATGAAAATAAAATTTATTTATTATGATGAATATATGATATTAGATATATGCCAAAAATTTTATATTTTTTTTTGCATTTCTATTTATCTTAAAAATATTACTAATTTATTATGACATTATGATAGTAAAACAGTTTTGCTTCTTGGTTAATTTTAAATTTTGTCATTTCTATCATTAATAAATATATTTCTTAGTCATATTTATTTTTTTGTTTAATATGATGAATATATAATATTAGAGTGTTTCAATTTTTCTATAAAACTTTCATTCTTTGTGCTTTTTTCTTGTATTTGTATTTAATTATGACATTATGGATTAATTCATTTATGATTTGACTAAGATGGTTGAACTGTTGACCTACTACTCAAATAGAAGAATGGTTTCATTTTTTGATTGGATTTAAAAGTATATATTTTTTGTAGTATTAAAATTTTGTGGTATAACAATGTAGATTTAATTAATTAGTGAATCTTTATAGAAAATTAGTGAAATTTAATGGTGAGAAACAAAAGTGCCTTACATATGGGATTTAATGAGAGAAAATAGCAATTAATACTTTAATTATAAGTATTAATGAGAGTGAATTGCATGAATTAAAAGTGGTGGTGATGATAATGGCGATAATTTCAAATTCTTATTAGAACCTATGTAATAAAACAAGTCCGGATCCACTGCAAACACAAGTGTGCAACATGGTTTTGTGACTAATTACAAGCAAATACAACAATTTTCTTATGCATGGGATCCACATGAGATGTGGGCTCCATGTGTAAGGAACACCAATGTATTCACTCGTGATTGGTCACATAGCTAAGTTCACATACTTGTGTTCATAGTAGATCTCTTGGCAACATTGACAAGTAATTGAAGTATGGTATACTCATAAGTTTGTTGCCTTTCAACCTTCATGTTTGCATGTTTTTAACACATAGTAGAACCAAATAGTTGAATCGATTAACATAATATCCATACAAATTTAATCAAGAGGACATAGGTAGGACATTATTTTTTTTTATATTTTAACCATTTTTACTATTACAAAGAGGATACTTGCCTTAGTTTTGGTGCATGTTATAAAATTAAATTTGACATATACTTTTACCATTTACATATACATGTGCATAGAAGGTTCCCTTACACTAGTTAATTATAAGTGATCTCATTTTTCACACATATTTTTGTTTAATAATAACTAAACTCTAACAATTTGAGCTTATCTTACATAGTTACATTGTCCATCCTAAGCCCAGATAAATGAAGAGGGCGCATCAAGTTGGTAGCCAACATTAAAACTTTTGCCAAACTCTCATGATATTTTTGTTTAATATGATGATATAATATTAAAAATGTGTTCAATTTTTTTTTATAAATTTTATAAAATTTGTTATATTTTTATTGTTATTATTTAATTTACAA